TCTGTGAGAGTCAGGTCTGATGGAGTTAATTTGTGTCTCTTGCTGATGGACCGATGAAAATCTACATTGCTCCATGTGTTTTTAAAGACGCGGCATGTGTTTGATTATTGTCATGGTCTTACTTTGTTGAAACATAATAAAAAACTTTTGCTGTTTCTTCACATGATACTACTTTTTGAATGATACGTGTTCTGGAGCTGTTGATTTGTGCTGGGGTGCCTATTGGCTCTATGAGTCCATTCAGGTGCAGTGAGTCCTGAAAGCTTCCAAACCTTACATGTGCACACACAGTTCTACTTTTTCTGTCTGAATTATTATTTAAATTTAACATGAATGTATGTTTGAGGTATTTTTACCTTGTTCTTGAAGGATCATCAAATACATGCTATTCCATACAGTTGCTACTTACCATGTCTTTCTTGGCAATAGTTTTTCCTTGGTAAGTTATACCTGTGTACAATGAACATTTTTGTGCTTTTTTCATCAGTGTAGTGGGTTTCTGTGGCTGGGTTTTGGTCGCAGGGGGGGAGCTTCTGTTAGAATCTGCTAGAAGATTTCCCTGTCCCACAGAGCCAATGCCAGCCGGCTCCAGGATGGACTTCCTGCCGCTGGCCAAGGCCAAGCCAATTAGGAGTGATAGTAACACCTCTGTGATAACATATTTAAGAACAGAAGATGGAAAAAACTTCAGCCAGGGAAGAGTGGAGTGAGAACATGGGAACAACAATGTAGACACCAAGGTCAGTGCAGAAGGAGGGGGCAGAGTGCAGAGCTGCTCCAGGCCCTGGAGCTGTGGCCCCTGCAGCCCGTGGTGCAGACCATGGTGGAGCAGCTGTGCCCCTGCAGCCCATGGAGGATCATCGGGGTGCAGAGACCCACCTGCAGCCCATGGAGGAGCCCATGCTGGAGCAGTGGATATCCAAAGGAGGCTGTGACCTTGTGAGAGGCCCAAGAATGGAGCAGGGTCCTGCCAGGGACCTGCAGTCCATGGAGAGGGAAGCCCACGCTGGAGCAGGCTTTTCCCAGTTAGGACTTGTGGACCCATGTCGGTCCAGCTCATTTGTGAAGGACTGCACCCCATGGAGGAGCGACCCACGGAACAACAGTTTGTGAAGAACTGCTGCCTGTGGGATGGACTCACGCTGGAGAGGTCCATCAAAGACTGTCTCCCGTGGAAGGGACCTCATGGGAGCAGGGGAAGGACTCCTCTCCCTGAGTAGCAGCAGAAACAACAACGGACCATAACCCCCATTCCCCATCCCCCTGCGCTGCTGGGGTGGAAGAGGGAGAACATGGAAGGAAGGAGGGGTGGGGGGAAGGTGTTTTTAAGACTGCTTTATTTCTCACTCTTTGGCTCTTATCCTGCTAGTGATAAATATGAGTACTATCCCCACTTTGAGTCTTGTTTTGCCCATGGAGGTAATCAGTCACTGACCTCTCCCAGCTCCTAACTCATTAATCCTTAGCTGTTTGGTTTTTTTTCTCCTCTGTCCAGTTACAGAGGGAGAGTGACAGAGCAGCTTTAGTGGGTACCTGGCATCCAGCCAAGGTAAACCCACTAAAATTGGTCAGCTATTTCTTATTTTGTTTCATCATTCCCATCTTTTCCCTGTTTCCAATGGATGCTCATTACTGTCTAATGCTTCTTAAATGTGAAAAGGTTTAGCTTGATAATTTCACACACTTTTCCATTTTAGCCATCGCTTTTTTTGTTGTTCTTGTTTGTAATTTTTCATCATTTTTCCTTGAAAGTTCTCTTTCTCAGGAGGTGTGAGAGGAATGGATGTTACAAGACAGGGACTTTAGGATTTATTTTTCTCTCTTTGTAGGCCTTTTGGTATGTATGTTATTTAATTCAGGTTATGCTTAGCCACCATTTTGATAAGTATTTCCATATGTAGATGGCCATCTTTGTAGTGTTTATCTCAATTTATATCTATTAATATCACATGATTTAGTTCTACAGCTATAACAAGGACATATTTATCTTCTGATATCAACCTTAATGATGCTATTAGGACAGATAAAGCCCCCCCCCCATTTATGGTAATGTTGTGGTTTAACCCCTGCCAGCAACCAAGCACCATGCAGTCGCTCGCTCACTCCCTCATCAGTGGGATCAGGGAGCCTTGCAAGCTGCCCTGTTCACCTCCCATGCCCACTGTTGATTGACACTTTGCCAAAAAGTTGCAATCTTTTTTACCATTCATTTCTTGATGTTTTTTATTTCCCTATATCTCTTTGTGTGGAAGTTAATATTTTTTTCTATTACATTTAACCTTTGCTTACTTCCGCATCATATTTTCTTGATCATCTCCATATTAGACTTTAAGTAATCAATTTTTTTTCCTTATCCAGGGTCCATTACATTTTAAGAGTGACAATCCAGGGGAAGAACCAAAACAGATATTAATGCAATTTGTTCTTAACCTAAGTAATAGTTTAATTTCAAAGAAAAAAAACCCCACAGATTATTTAATGAATGAATTTTTATTATGACCAGTATTACACAGAATCCTTGTAGATATGACAACAATGTACAGGTACATAGACTAGATTGGTGCTTTACAGTGTGCTTGTGTTATTTGAGGAAATATTCTATATTTCATGATTGTTCAAGTCAAGTAATGCTTACCCAGATTTACCTTTTCCACACCAGGCAGTTTAATTTTCTTGGTTCTATTTTAGCATAGTGTGTGTGTCTAGTATCTTCCTAAGCTTTTCACTGGCAGCTGTAGGTACAAAGTAACAGTGTGTGTGTTTTTGAAGTATTAGGACATTCCTGAAAAAGAAACAAAATTAAACCTAAAGGAAAAGCAAAAAACCTGTTTACAGGAACTTGAACCTTTCAAGGTTATGGAAAAGAAAGGAGGAGTTTTAAGCAACTCAAATTCACTCAATTCTGGAGTAACACTTCATTTCCCAATATGACATCTTTTATTTTATTGCCAGTCTCATATTTTATGGCCAGGGTTCATCCTTTACTCCTGGTGGTTCATCTGCATGGATTGTTTTGTTACTCAGAAGCAAGTGAGTATATGGACTACAAATTAATAATATTTTTTTTTATTTTATTTTTACAATGAGCTCTCCCTATTAATCAAAACAGTATGAGAAGAGCAAAATGTTTTCCTGATCAGGCAGCATGAATTGGAAGAGCCCAGAGCTGTCTCCCATGATGTGGGAAGGCAGTCATGGCACATTTTGAGTGAAGGAACAGGCTGAGTGATGGCAGGAATGAGTGAGAGAATGACTCTACTCCTTTGCCCACTCTAGGAGTGTCAGGAGATTTTAGCACTCCTATTCCCTTCAGCATCAGCTTTCAATCTCTCAACCTGACATTCCTTCTAACACTCCCATCCTTCCCAAAAGACAACCATCCCTTTGAATAGGCTGTTGAAATAGTTTGAGTTTCAAAATTCAAGCCTCTGTGGTATGTTCTTTAAATTAGCTAAAAGTATCTTGATAGATATATTGAAAACTGGAGATACAGATTTTATTCATCTCCTAAAGCAAAAGCTTGTAATAAATGTGCTACTTCATTTAGGTGAGACACTTGTGAGAGAAAGCAATCATCTTTTTTTTGCATCATCTTCCTAGGGAAATAAAAGTGTTCCCAGAGCATTATCACATGAAATGCACAAGTTCAACTAAAAATAGAGATGGATTTTTGCCTAGAGTGACAATCAACATGACTAAATATTGTTAGAATTTGTCTAATTTCATGGAGGAAAACAAACATTTTTGAAAGTTGCATGACAAATCCGTTAATTACAACATAAGTAAAATTAAAGCTTGGTGCACCCTACTTACAGGGAGACTCCGAGCTGTCAGTCTCTGCACAGGCCACCTTCCAGGGTACTGAAGACAGGCCCATCAGTAGGACTGGTTGTTAGACCCACAATATAAAGGAGAATCACACATTTCACACCCCAATGTGCCCCTAAATTACTGCCAGACTGAGGCTTGGTCAGCTCAGTCCTAGCTTTCATTCTCATTCACCTGGACTAATCTGATGTACCTGGCACTTGGAGTGGCTGCTCCCCATGGGTCTGATTGCCTCAGGGCACAGCAGGATTTCTTCTCGGGTGTGCATCTGCTTCCAGGCTCTACTTACAACTGTGTGCTGAAGGCCAGAGCTGGTACAGTTACAGTTGTACTTCTCTAGGTGGAAGCCGGAAATCAACACGGATCGTGGCAGCCCCCATCCAGTCACAGTGTGTCCATCTCTGACAGGGCTTCAAAAACCACATCAAAATCATACATATACTTTTTAACTACTGATGCTTTGAAATGTTATCTTTTCATGCATTGATGTGTTTACGCAGAAACCCTCAATAACTCTTGCTGGTTATCCCCAAATTCACAGAAATGGACAAGGGACAATTTGGTCTGAAATAAAACCCAAACCAAACAAAAAAAAAAAACCCAAAACCAAAACAACAACACATAGGAGAAAGAAAGTTAGAAAGTTATTTACAAGGTAATATTTTTTTCACCTTTATAATTTCTGCATGTATAGTAATTACTGATCTTGCTAGTACTATCCAGTGCTGCTGCTATTCTGTATGAACTTCTTGTGGCTACAAGGTCCTTCAGCAGTTAGCAGTCTGCACACACACAAGATTAGCAACTAATTAGAACCTCACCACCCATAAAGACATACGGACTTGGACTTCTGGATCATAATGGATGCTGGCAAATCCAACCATCCTTTTGGTGAGGAACAAAAAAATCTTTATTTTCCTGATATGCAACAGTGAACTTGCCATGACCCCTACAGCATAAACCTCTCAAGCGCTCCATCTTTAGGTGTTTTGGATGTCATTAAATGACAATGAATTTCAGTCTTCTCATTTATTCACTTTTATTTAACCACAGTTTTCAATTTTACTGCTTGTCCTTCCCCCGTGCCTGATCCTTAACTCAGTCTTCAAAGCTGTCTCACCACAATCTTCCACTTTTACTGCACCCTCCAGTTTGATCCTAATAAAAAATTCTTCCCACATCTGAAAACAACAAATAAATAACTAAAACAAACATGTTCAATGCTCAGAAGTACTTCAGTGAAAATAACTTGAATGTCAAGAATCACCAGAAGACGAAGAGGCAGTAAAACAGGATATTGTAGCTTAGTACCATTGTAGCATTGTGTGAAATAGTTGCACCCTGAGTAGTGTACACATTTCTGGCCCATAAATAAACAAATAAATGCAAGTGGTAAAGAAATTTCTGAGAAAAGTGATAAAGATGATTTAAGGTCTAAAATGGCTTCTTTACTAAGAATATTAGGACACTTTCAGAACAGAGACCACTACTGGTTGAAGATGTTCTTGCTTATTTTTACTATCTGTAAGGTCAGTGGTTAAATCTATCACATTTAGTGAGGTCTAATCTAATTATAAAATTGGTTATAAACCAAAAGGTTACTGAAACCAGAAATGCTAAATTTCATAGGCAGTTTCCTTAAATAAATGGACTCCTTTTCTCTCTAGGCATTTTCCAAATCAAAGAAAAAAGATGAAGATGATGTGTGGAAATATGAGATTGGTGCCATCCCTCTCCTTTATAGAAATCAATTCTAGACTACACAGCTGCTTGCACAAGCAAAGCACTTGCTAATGCCTGTGGTAAATAGTTCACAAACTGGTCCATTTAATTACATGCATGTCCTGAGGATTGATTTTGATCTTTTTCTATAACATAAAAAAAACAAACAAAGAAATCCCTCCCATAAAAGCACCAACTCCAAACAAAAATCTGACTCTTCCTCTCCTCCCCCCCTCCAAAAAACCCAACCCAACCAAATAACAGCAAAACAACTTCCCCTAAAAAGGAAAATCCTATTCAAGTGCTTACCTATTTTTTTTTCAGGACTTCTAAATTGCTAGCATCCTGGTTTGGGCTGGTATTTTCACGGTTCTCTTAGAAAATAGTTGGGAAGGCAACAGAGGAATTCCATGACAGGAAAAAGCTGCAATGTCTTTAGGAAGAGGATTTGGTTTCTGTTTGAAATCCCTCCCTACAAGTGAAGAGCAGTATCATTTGTATGCGGAGTGCAGAGACCTGAAACAATGAAACTCTCAAAGATGTGGTATATAGACATGACATCTGGAGAGGAAAAAAGGTTTGTTTGCATCAGCCTAGTTAGTATGGCAGGGTTGTTCTGTACCATGCACCCATACATCAAGTTTTCTAGAACGAAAGGACAAGGGGGGGGGGGAAGTATTTAATGACCATGGGCTCCTTACAGAAGTATTTTATCATATAGGATGATCCATCTCTCAGCTGTGAAGCCTGTAGAATCAAAACATTTTCTGCCAGAGCAAGATGGAACATCCCAACTGTTCCTTGTTTTGGTTTTGTGGTGGGGTTTTTTGGCTTTTGTTTGTTTGGTTGGGTTTTTTTCCCCTTAGCCTGGGCAGCAGCCACAGTATAAATAAATGGCAGTCAAAAAATACAAACTAGCAGTTGATAGAAGAAACCAGAAGAATTCAAAACGCACGCTGGTTTTAACAACAGCCAGAGTGAGGGGCTTATCACCCCATTGTGGTGTCATCTAGCAGATTCATCTTGTCTGCAGATAAACAAAATGAAAATTACTCGGAAAGGGACAGGAAGCCGTGGCAGAGAAGGTAACCAGAGGGAGATAGAGAGGAAAGGAAGAAGGAGGAGGTGGAAGAGGGAGGTAAGCTGCTTCCAAGGCAGGATTGGTCAGAAATTGCTGCAGCCCAGGCGGGTCGTGACTGGGCACCCCTCCCCACTCCCCTGCTGGGCACCAGAGCTGAACCAGAATGCCCCAAAGAGATCAGCCCTCCCCTTGACTCAGCTTGCCATGGTAACGATAAGGATCTCAGAAGATGCAAAGACAAAGACACAGGAGGACTTAGCTAGGGTTTACTGCAATCTGTTTTTCTGTTATTATTAGATACACGCAGAGTATTTATTGTGACCTGCAGAAAAACGCAGTTTTCTGCTGCATTTCCATAGCTGTAGTGCAGTTGGTTTCCAGACTTTCCAACAGACTTCCTGAGCATCAGGAATACCTCCAAAATACTGTGAATGGAGACTAGTGGATTTCTTTCATGTTTACCAAAATCTAAATCGATCCTGCACTATATATTTGAGAGAAACACACAGTAACATTTTCTTTAAAAAGTTCATTTGGTCCCTAAGCAGGTCTGTTTTCAGCGTTCATGAAAAATAAACTACTCATGGTATTATTCAAACGGTTTCTATAACACTACACCAGATTTGTAGGATATTCCTACTTTAGTGTATTTTGGTGTGCTATGTAGGTTTGCAAAAGGTACTAAAGAAACTGAAAATTTGAGTGAAGGAATTTGGGAGTAATTTAATAAAAGACCTATAAGAGTTGAACCTTTGCATAGAGTATGTGATGTAAATGTTCAAATAAGTTTTACAAGGAGGAGCCTACAGAATCATGGGGATAGCATTGGTACCAAGCAATTAATTCCGTTCATGTTTGTTGGCCTATGTAAATACTTGTCTATATTGTTGATAAATTTGCTAGCCTAAAGCAAATTCTCATGAGAAAAAAAAAAATAAAATCACAGTTTTCTGTAAGACTTTTACTACCAAAGGAGCTTGAACAATATTTCAATTCTGTCCTCAATCAGGTCACTAGAGAAAAATTAAGCATAGACAGTCTTTTTCAAATACAAACAAACAAACAAAACAAAAACAGCAAAAACCAAACCAAAACAACGTGAATAAGACTTTTTGAAGGAAAAGAATATCTAAGGACTTTTTCTCACACTGTATTGTGACTATGAAAAAGCCTAAAAGTGAATGTTCTTCTATTACTTTACTTTTTTAAAACTTGTTTCTCAGCATACTTGGGAATATTTCTGCAACTGAGTGTAGTTTATTTTTCTTTTTTTTTTAATATTGTCTTGCATATTATGTTTTAGTCCTTTAAAAAACAGAGTTGTTTTTTAGTAACTACAGGGTGAATAATATTCATGGGAACAAGTCATCTGACAGATTGCACTACCTATGCTACAGTTAGTACTTTAAAGCAAGGATATATTTTGTGTGGACTTAAAATTCAAAAGTAAATTAGTGTCATGTATGTCATTCAACACTTATTTTGTGACCACCAGCATCTGTGATGCACTGTTCTTAAATCTAAAGTCTTTCCCCTTTTTGAGAATTTAGGTCGGCTTAATAGTTGAAATGAAATTTGGTAAGGGAAATTTTGCATCTGCAATGAAATAAAATATTGTGGTTTTCGAGAAAATACTTTTAACTCTCACCTGTCACATAAGCAAATAGGTGATATAGTACGTTTCTCTCTTCTATTTCAATATATACAACCCTGTTCTTTAACTATGGTATGCAGACAGAACGTGTTCATTTATAACAAGCGCAGTCACCTGAAGTAGAAGAACAAGTTGCCTTTCTACATTAAATATGAATGACTGGTCAGGAGAAACAGGTATATGCAGTAATCATAGGAAAACATTCCAGGTGTAATTTAGCTGAGGAAAAAGGATTTAGTATACAGAACTTATGAGTTTTCCTCTATTAATAGAAACATACTTAAACCCGTCATAAAAATCCTATTGGTGGGATAGAGAGAACATTGTTTATAAATTTCTGTATAAGGAAACCGAGCTAGTTATATGCATCTAGTTATAGCTAGATGCTGGTTACCATCTCAAGGGGGAAGCATGGCTGGAAAGTTCTGAGAAGGAAATGGTGAACTTCATGAATTACAATACTGAGCTTAACTAGTTTTTAATGAGGAACATAATAGAAAAACAATACAAACACTTTAGACTAGATTCCAATCTGCTTATGTCTTATTTGAAAACTATTAGAATATTTGTGTTTTCAAATGATTTTTCAAAAATCAGAGGGAAAAAAACAAACAACAAAACAAAACAAATCCAGCCACCTCTTTTCCAATTTCCAAGAGAAGCGGAACAGATATACTGAAGTGTCTAAGTAAGTATGAGCATTGTTCTTGAAAAGAAATGCTCCCTCCTCACACTGTGTCTTCAAAGGCAAAAATGAAACTCGGGAGGCCTCTGTTTCTGAATTTTCAAATCGCCCAATCAGAACCTTGTACAAATCAATTCCCTGCCTTAGACTCATGCAATCTCTTCCTCCCATACTAAATATACACCAATAGAAGGCTATTTTGCCAAATATACTAAATACAGAAAATTTGATATTATTAAACAAACAAACAAAAAATCCTTTAAGTGTTTTAAACCTAATTCTAGCCTCAAATTTCAGCATAGTTACTAATAAAGTCCTGCAGTTAATGTTGTTTCAAAGTCCAGCTCTGAATAGTAGGTGATTAATACCTAATGCAGTTTCTTTCAGTAAGACAGAGATGATTAAAAAAAAAAAAAGGAAAGAAAAAAAAAGTCCTCTATCTATTTCGGGAAATAAAAAGAAAAGATAAAATAACAATCAAAAAACCAAACACACACACACACAAAAACAACAACCAATCAAAAAAAAATATCCCAAACCAACCTGAAAATTGTGCAAAAATCTTGTACCGTTTGATAGCAGTCTCGCCTTTCTCATCTTGTTTCCAAGCAAGACTTCAGCTGGGCACTCCTCCGTTATCTCTCTCTGCTTGAAAAACATTTTCCATTAACACAATGGCACAGTGGCTCATTTCTCTGCCTCCTGAGACAGAATCCTGAAAAAAAACCCCAACCAACCAAACAACAGCAGAAACAAACAACTGCGGAGTTTTCCTTTTTCAGTTCTCACGGACGGTTTTAAAGAACAAAGAAAACATCCTCCCCAGCTCTGAGAAAGCCTCATTCTGAGTCTCCCAGCTCCCCCCGTTGCATTCCTGCTTCCCCTTCGGGCAGGCTTTTTCTTCCGGAATAAACATTACTGAATAAAAAAGAAGTAAAAGCCTCTTTTACCTACATCCGCCTAACAAAGGTGAGAAGTGGTGTTCTTTACAGCAGAAGAAAAGAAAAAAAAACCAAAAGAAATAAAATTAACGCGTTCAGAGGAAACAGAGGGGACAAGAGCTGTCGCTGTGCCCCAGCAGGGCGGACTCCCCGAGGCACCAATGGCGGACAGGCTCCTCCCTGCAAATACCGATCTCTCGCGTAGTATCTTGATTTATGTGCCCCCAGCACCTCGGGATCCTCAAGCCAGATGCGGCGACTTCAGAGCCCGCGACTCCCGCGTCATCGAGGCCGTGTCCCCCTCTTTGGAGCACAAGAGGCTCCCGCAGTCAAGCAGGCCAAGGCAGTCGTAGCAGCCAAGGGCCCCAAAAAGGCAACTAGGGCTACGAAATCCAAAAAGGTGGTACCGGGGAGCTCGGCCAAGCCGAAAGCGACGGTACCCAGGAGTCTGTACTGTATAAGTAAAGGAAACTTTTGCAGAAAAACGCCAAGAGCACTTTTGAACACCACCAGGATGAAAGAGAAAGAATTGAAACAGTTCAAGTCTAGACTGGTACATGATGACCCCCTTTCCTGTGTATGTGTGAGTTTCCATAGTGCTTCTATCTGAACTCACACTCCAGCCTATTTTGCTTTAACTCCATTATGATAGTCACCATCATTATCTATCACTTAAATAGAATACCTGGCGCTGCCCTTTGGAAACTGTCCTGGACAGCATCCCAGTGAAGTACTTACCATTTTCTTACTATCCCCTGATAGTCCCAAATTGCAAACAAGAAAAAAAAAACAACCTCAGAAGGCAGAAAATTACAGCAACCACTACGCATAAGGCACCCGGACACCTTTCCACCCCAACGCAGGGACAGCAGCGGCTCACTGGGAGAGGAGGGGGCCCAATCCCTCTCTGGTTTGAAAACCGCGCATTCCAATCGGATTGGCAAGGACGGCCCCGTCCCCGCCCCATACTACCACCACCGAGCTTAACGGTGCTTCCCACCCACTGAATCCATGGGGAGGCAAGCAGAGAGTACACCCTTGCCTAGTTCACATCTCAAACCATGCTGCGGTGACCGATTTCAATCGCAATAGATACCTTTTATTATTTTTTTTTCCCCTAAAAAGGGAAACGGAGGTACATTTACATAAGAACATGGATGTCTTAGAGAAAGAAAACTGCAGGGAACTACACTGATCAGCAAGTTAAAAATACACAAAGTTTACGCTTCAGAAAGCTTCTTCTGACATTTAGAATTTTCAGATATGTCAAATAGTATGTATTTGTAGGGTCAAGCGTTCCTGCTCTTTCTAGGAAGATGTGGGTGGCTCTGAAAAGAGCCTTTGGGTTGTTTGATCTGGAGAACTTTACTTGGCTTTGGCCTTGTGGCTGTCGGTCTTCTTGGGCAGCAGCACGGCCTGGATGTTGGGCAGCACGCCGCCCTGCGCGATCGTCACCTTGCCCAGCAGCTTGTTGAGCTCCTCGTCGTTGCGGATGGCGAGCTGCAGGTGGCGGGGGATGATGCGCGTCTTCTTGTTGTCGCGGGCCGCGTT